AAGCAGCTCAAGTGAGGACATTGATGGGGCCACTATTCTGAGTGTCACAGCAAAACCCATCACAACTCCCAGGGGGTCACAGTGAACAGGTTGTTAACCCAGAGGACCGTGGCTGAGGACAGGCCCCTCCCTCCAGCTCCTGTCAGCTCCTGTCGGTCGAAGTGTGAATTAGCACACGGAGCCGTGAGCCCTGAGACGAGGAGTGAAACATGTGATTAGATGAATAGGTTTCTATTAGTGCAGAACACAAGGGAGGAGCAGAGTCGGGGGGACAAGGACGAGGGGGTGAGCACAGTGCACAGCGGCCCTCAGTGCCCTGCCTGACCCCTGGGCTGAGCCCTCACTAGCCACCTTTCTCTCCGGATCCAGGTGTGCTCACACTCCACCCCTGGGCCGACTGTGACACTGGGCACTTCTGTGCTGCAGGGGACGGACAGGCAGGGGGCAGACCCCAGCCTTCCTCTCTGCTCATCCCTCCAGCCCTGGAGCAAGATACAGAGCAGCACATACCCCTGTTTCTCCCAGGTGCCACAGTTCTAAGTATGTGAACTGCCTGCTTTTGCAAAACCTCTCAGCTTCTCTTTCTGCTCCTGCAGCCAGCCATCCAACACGATACCCATAGCTGAGGCGGAAGCTTGAAGAGAGGAGAGCGTGTGTGTGAGAATGTCATCAGATGGTCCGGGAAAGCAGGTGCCCAGGTGCGGACCTCACTGACAGGTGCCCAGGTGCAGACCTGAAGGTGCTGACCCTGCCACTCCCTTGAGAGGCTGCCCTTTCCTTGCTGTTCCCGGTGAACATCCCTACACTGGCTCCAGGGCCCAGGGGTCCTTCTGCGAGTGGAGTGGTGGGAGGAAGGACATGGGGTTCAGATATGAGAAGGCGGTGCCAGCGAGGGCTTACCTGGTGTCACCTGAGACAGGAAGAAGACAGCGAAGATGAGGACATAAACCAGCTTCATGGGGCCGGTTCTGTGGGGACTGCTTTCGGAACTCCTGGGAGGAGAAAACAGGTGCATGACCATGTTATTGGATAAAAAGTAGCTTAAAGCTTCCCCGTACAGATCCGACCAGGGCAACTCACTGCGGGAGAGAGTGCCCAGTTTTGGCCAGAGCACTCGCTGAATGTACAGTGAGCAGTGAGGCCCGTGAAATGAACGGGCACAATGGTGAGCAAGCTCCACGCAGAGCTGGGCGATGCCCTTTGTTCCCGCCAAGGACCCTGGCAAGCCCAGCAGTGGTCATGGAGGTAAAAGAATGGCTGCAGCAGGTGGGTGTTACTCTATGAATGTGCTGGAGAGTATATGGCTTTCTCCCCATTTACTCTCCTGGAACTTGGACGATCTGCTGCATGAACTTGGGCACACACAGTGCCAATGCCACCTCCCATCTCCCCACTAAGGGTGCTGGCACTCGGCAGAACGAAGCCGTCACTCACCTCTCAGACTCTCCTCCCGGCTCCGCTCCCTCCTCAGACCGCCACAGCCTCTTGTATGCGCAGAGAGGCCGTGTCACTGGGTCACATGCTCTGACTGGGGCCTGGTCCTGCCCGGTCTGACCAGTGACATCGGCCTTCTGTCCCAGGGTGACTCTGCTGACTCAGGTCGCTGTCCAGGCCACGGTGAGATCTCATGACCCATCAACCTCGTGGCCATGGTCCTTGCGCGGACGCCTGGCTTAGCTCTGGGGAGGTGCAGGCGGAGGGGCTTTCCTCCTAACTCAGAGCCAGAGTGAAAGTCAGGCCTCCTCCCACGCCAGGCCCTGGTCTGCAGGCTCCTCATCTGACCTCACCTGCTGTGTCTGTTCTCTGTCCCAGGTGTGGCCCGCCGACCCTACCTTCGAGACCCAGGGAGCTGGGGTTGAGATTTCTCTTGTTTTTAACCAGAAAATCCTGGGCTCCTCATGAGAGGTGATGCCCCTCTTTCTGAAGGAACCTCGAACTCGTCCACAGCAAGCATCTTCAGAAGTGGCCAGTGTAGGCACTCTGTGCCGTTCCCTCCTGTTTCCAGGTCATGGTTGACGTCTGACGTGTGTTTCTGTAATAAGAGGCCGACCAAGAAGAGCACACGGAGGGCATCTGCCTTCCTGCAGCCAGAGGCCTACCGTCTGCTTCACGCAGGCGCCCATGCCATCCCCAGTGCACACACGAGGAAGGGAAGACGAGACCCGCGTGGTGGTGAAGTTTGCACGTGGCAAAGCCCATGTTAGAATCAGGAACCAGGCCCCAGACCCGAGTTCTAGTCTGGTCTCCTGTGGAAGGAACTCCTAGACCCTTCACACGGTGGCTATCAGTTCACATCTAAGAAGAATAAATTGGCTGATAATGTTCCATTGAATCATGAGAATTTGGAAATTTGAGGTTCAAAATAAAGGTTTTTGTGATATTAACGAGCAGATTTAAAAATTTACTGTAATGGGGGAAAGGTGCAAGAATAAACAAGATTATTTTTCTAAAGACAAACAAATCATGACTTCCACTATCAGGTATAATAATGTACAATGATGCTGAGGCTTGAAACATGTGGCATTGGCCCAGGAAGAGAAAAAAGTACCAGGTTCCTGTCCTAGCCGGATTGGCTCAGTAGATAGAACATTGGCCCATGGACTGAAGGGTCCTGGGGTTGATTCCCGTCAATGGCACATACCTCCACTGTAGGCTCCATCCCCAGCACTGGTCAGGGAGTGTGCGGGAGGCAACCAGTCAATGTGTCTCTCTCACATCAATGTTTCCCTCTCTGTGTCTCTCCCTCTCCCTTCCACTCTCTCTAAAAATCAATGAAAAATATCCTCGGGTGAGGATTAACAACAGGAAAGTATTGGGTTCCTTAACAGGTGCTTGTAGAGCTCGTTAACACCTGGCAGGTGAGAGCCCTGCTCTCAGCCCTGTTTCTTCCGGGTCCAAGTTCCCATGTGCATCCCTGGAGCAGAACTGGAATGTTTGGGGGGAGGGAGTAGAGGGGGGGGAGGGGCACATTCCATAACTGTCCCCTGGGTCCTGCCTGCCCTGCCCCCTGGGTTCTAGTGACGTCGGTCCTCGTGAGGCAAGGGATGTCTGTGCTTGTACCCTTGCTTCTGGCTCTCCTGAGGGGTTGCTTTAGCATAACTGAAGGTGGTGCATAACCTGAACCAGACTCACGGGTGGCTTGGTTGCCCTGAAGTGTCTCTTACTGGAACTCAGGAGCCACAGGAGGGACTGTGGGGACTGTCCCAGGGCAAGGCAGGCTAGTACTTTCACTGGACGCCTGCCCCAGAGCAGTGTGGCAGCTGAGGTGGCCCCTGTCATCTCTGCTGCTGCAAGGGTTCATTGTGGATCCTTCTGAGTGGCTCGGGTGTCAATGGGTTCCAGCAGGTTCTAGAAACTGGAACTCAGGGAGCAGGGCTTTAGTGAATTCTTTTAAGCAATGTCCTCTGAGACTAAAAATGTATACAACTATTACAGTAGGAAATCATGCAGTAGAAATACTATACAAGTTTCCAGTTAATAAGTAAGTAGAGCTAAAAGGTGGGGATGGCCCTGGCCAGTGTGACTCAGTGGTTAGAGCATCAGCCTGCCCACCAAGGGGTCGAAGGTTCGATTCCCAGTCAAGGGCACATGCCTGGGTTGGAGTTTGCTTCCCATTCCCCCTTGCCCCCCATCCCCAGGCACGTTTGGGAGGCAACCAGTCCATGTCTCTCTCCCCCCTCCCTCCCTGCCTCCCTTCCACTCTCTGAAAAGCAATGGAAAAAATATCCTCTGGAGAAGATTAACAACAACAAAAAAAAGATGGGGGCGGCAGGAGTGTTGTCCAAATTGGGCCAAGAGGAACTGGGCAAGACCTGGAGTCCACACCCTCAGTCAGCTATTTGTTCTAACAGTTCCCAGGACACTCAAGAGTGAGCACAGCCTGAGGCCCAGAACAGTAACCCACACGGACGGCCAGAGTCTGAAAGGACTTTGTCACTCACATGCGGCCAGTGAGGCCTCCGCCGGACCCCCTGCCCACACCGCTCGGTGCTGCAGAGCCTCTGCCCAGTACCTTTGCTTCCCATTTTTGAATTTTTATTAAATTTACTGGGGTGACACTGGTTAACAAGATAAGTTTCAACTCTACAGTTCTATCATACATCATCTGTAGTTTGCATTTTGCACTTATCAATATTTTGTGTATTAAATGTTACTTATTTCCATTGTCTTTTCCTCCATTAAGATATATGCACCATGAAGGTAAAAATGTTTTTTCTGTTTTGTTCACTGCTCAATAAATAAATTGTTGCCTGGTGTGGCTCAGTGGTTGAGTGCTGACCTATGAACCAGGAGGTCACAGTTCTATTCCAGTCAAGGCACAGGCCCCAGTTGCGGGCTCGGTCCCCAGTGGGGGGCATGTAGGAGGCAGCCGATCAATAATTCTGTCTCATCATGGATGTTTCTATCTCTCTCCCTCTCCTTTCCTCTCTGAAATCAATAAAAATATATTTTAAAAAATTTATATTAAAAATAAATAAATAAATTGTTGAGAAAAAGGAATGCATGAAAGTTGACACAATCGGTGAATTTTCCTGGAGTCAAGCAACAGGGGCAGCCAAACCCGGTCACACGTCACTCTACTGATGGGCCGTGACAGGTTGTTGGAGCTGGGACCACAAGCACCAACAGTGTTTACTCCTGGAGCTCCCATCTCTGCTCTTTCTCCACCCGTGACCATGATTCCCAGCATTCCCACCAGGGTCCCTGCCCTCTATTTCGCCCCTGGAGTTCTTCTCTGTTTTCCCAAGCCAGGCCTCTGTGCTTGAATCAGGAAGAAATGGGAGGCCCGGCCGGGTGGCTCAGTGATTGAGCATCATCCTCTGAACCAGGAGGTCATGGCTTGGTTCCCAGTCAGGACACAGGCCTGGGTTGTGGGCTCGATCCCCTGTGTGGGGCATGCAGGAGGCAGTTGATCCATGGTTCTCTCTCATCATTGATTTCTCTCTCTCTCTCTTTCTTTCTCTCTCTCTCTCCCTCCTTCCTCTCTCTCTAAAAATCAATAAAAACATTTTTTTAAAAAAAGGAAGAAGAAACAGAAGGAAGAGAGAGGCATAGAGGCATGGGCTACATGGGGCTGACCAGAGACTTTGAAACGGAGAGATGTCAGTGACTCTGTGAATGCTGGGAGAATTATGTGACAAAGCAAAGAAGGTTTCGACTTCATAGTGAAGAAACACAAATTAGGAAATGAATTATTTTTAAATCACTCATAGGTTCCTAAGTTCTCCTGGCGATGGTAGACTGTTCCACTCAAGGACAGGACTCACCGTTGACTCTCCCCACAGACACTGGGCATAGCAAAGCCTGCGATGATCCTTGGACACAGACTGTGAAGAGGATAGTGCCGATCAGGAATGTGGGGAATCACACTCTGTCTGTGTCCACCATCTTCACCTACACTGACTGACAGCCGTGACAGCCCATTGTGGGTCCGCACACTGAGCTGAGTCCTAGTGGTTACTCATTGATGGGACCCAGCCATACAGTTGGCCCGGACTGTTACTTGTCACAGTGCCAGCCAAGCTTCATTCTTTTCCATGGACTGTTTAGATTTTGGAAGAAGGCAAATATAACATCTTTTTTCTGTCTCCCAACTTCCTGGGCACCTTGGGCACCTGCTGCCTCCTCCCCAGCCTCCTCCAACTTGTGCTGTAAATTGCAGGCGGTGATGCTGATCCACAGACTGGCTCCTCACCAGAGTCAGGATGTGGCGTAGTGGAGAGATCACTTACGATGCCACAGAGGGTTCATGGCCTGGACAGGAACAGTGAGCAGGAAGACAGGAAATAGTCACTTCATCCCAGGCTCTACCTCGGAGCGTGCGCCTTCTGACCTGCCATTGAGATTCCTTTCTGGGTAGCCTCTGTACTGTGCTTTCTTCCTGCATGTTCCCAACACCACCCCAAGCCTGTGCTACCCCCAAAGCTCCTTCCCCATGGCAGCGGTAGGCCCAGGACCAAGCCCTGTCCTCACATCACTCGCCCACTACAGTGAATTCTCTCCTGTGCACACTCCCTGAGGTTTCTAAGGAAACCACAACTTCCCTTCCATGCAGGCAGAGAGTTCTGGAACTGACCACAGCCTTAAATTATGCTCCTTCTTGTGCTGACTCTTCAATGTGGGTGAGCTGTTGCACCTGGCTGGGTTTCAGTTTCTACATCTGTGGCTTGGGGCTGGTAACCCAGAGCGGTTCTCATGAAAATGCCCTGCAAAACTGAAAGCGGAACTTACACTTAATTCTTATCATTGATTCCCTCCCGACCACCCGTTCTGGGAAGACAATGTTCTAATCAACCCTGAAGACAAAATGATCCATATACAGACGTGAGTGTTGAGAGCTTTTATTTTGACCCGAGGAGCCACGCGCCAGGTCTTAGGGCCGGGCTCTCTCCCCCGGGCACTCTCATTGGTTCCTCTTTATGCGGCAGCAGATGGTGAAAGCTCGGCAGGGCCCCTGGATAGGCTTACAGTTTGGGGTGCCCCGCTTCAGGCAGATCCCACCCCGAAGGTAGCAGGGCCTTTCAAAATTGAGAGCCCCGGTGCTGTCTGCAAGAAGGAAGTGAAGTCTGTGTGAGGCTGGCATCCGGGGAGAGCTGAGACCTGCCTCCCCATCGGACGGGCCCATCCCTCCCAGCGAGCCACCAACCGTATCCGCTCTTCTCATCACCTCGCATCCTTCCACAAGATGCCACTGATACTGATACCGCCTCTGGCCATATTGTCCTTCCTGCCACGGGAACCTCTGGGCATGAACTGGGCAGGGAGGTGTGCTGAGTCTGTAATGACTGCCTACCGGTTCACCAGTTATCTCACCTGTCCCACCACACAAATCCCTCCTAGGAGAAGCCTTGCCCAGCTACACTCTCGGTCACTCCTGTGATCTGAGCGGCATGAGGTCTCTGTTCAGGGTCCATCTAATCTTTGTCTCCACTCCAGGTTACACTAACCAAGGGATTCAACTGAATTGGTTCTTAACCATCCAGGTCATTTGTGGGAAGGGGAGGCAAGTCGACCACTACCCATAGGACTTGCAGTGGCATAAAGACACACCACCAGCTCTCAGAGCTCTTCCAACTCCCCTGCGGTGAGCATGGGTGGAGGTGCCCGCTGGCAGCTCCTTGAGCCTGTGCTCCCAGCTCTGACTGAGGGGGTAGAAAGGGCAGTAAAGTTGGTATTTACCGGGCAGTACCTGGAGGATGGTAAGGAGAGCAGTGAGGAGGATGTGCAGGACTCTCATTGTCACTCACCACAGTTCCCGAGACCTGGGGAAGGGTCGGAGGACAAGGTCAGTGCCCGGGTTCTCTGTCCCAGGAACTCGCAGCTGCCAGGGATGAACATGAAGATCAGCGTCTCCCTGCCTGAGGCCCTGCTCCTCCCAACAGCACGGTGCTCTCGCTCCCTGTGCCCCAGGCGCCTGCCTTGCCCCAAGGCTCCTGAGAGGCCCCAGCGCAGGGATGGTGACAGGTGCGCCAGAGGCGTCTGAAGGTGAGTGGGAGCCGAGAGCCAGGCTGTGGCAAAGGGAGAAAAGGACGGTCCCTTGCAGGCGAGGAAGCTCCTCAGAGAAGATTCTGAGGCCAGGGCTCCTTACAAGAAAGATCCAGAATGGCAGGGGGTCAGTTCTAACCTCCCTAGAGGACCCATGTTAAAGGGAGAGAGTCCACACTGGTTAAAGATGAGTGGAAAAATGTACCTAATCATCTGTAGAATTTACTTTCATTTAAATCTATTATTTTTCTGATAATATTTCCATATTGAAAAATTCCAAATAATGAAGAAATGTAAAAGATAGATTTAATCCCCCTCTCTAGTTATAGCCACAATTTACAATTCAAAGTATTTCAGTTCTGTTACTTTACAAATAAAATTATGTAAATATTTATTTTAAATATAGAATCATACTTTATAGCCAGTTCTATTGCATTTTCCCCACTTAAATATTATCTTGGGAATTCTTGAATATCTATCCATTCAGATATACTTGTCTCATATATTTGCATGACTATACATATATCTTTAGAAATTTATGTAGCAATTACTTATGCATAAATTCCTAGGAATGGAGTGGGCACATATATGCATATTTCAAGTTGCAATGGGCATTTGCCCAATTGCCCACTCCAGAAACTGCTTGGCCACTTTATTGTCTCAGTGACAATGCACAAAAGCATCTTTTGACTGTTGATATTCCATCAATTCTGGTTATTGTCAATTGTTTTAATCTTTGAAAATCATATAAGTGAATAACATACTTTCTGCTTACTTTAATATCTCTTTTAAACATTATTACTGAGGTTGAGCATTTTAAAAATGTTCATTAGTTACTTTTATCTCTTACCTATCCATGCACTTTACCCATTTTTCTATTTTCCTATTTGTCTTTTCCTACTGATTTCTAAGGACTCCACGCACATGCCAGGTCATTATAAGGATTGTTTCTGGTTTCTTTTTACTTCATGCTTGCTCATCTAATAGCCCAAATTTACGGTGACCCTAAATGATACTTTTTACTCTGCTCATGTTTGTTTTTCGCTATAAGTACTTGTTTTGTCTGTATTTACCTATCTGTCTCTATTCCAGATCAGTTTTGTCCTTCGCCCTTTCTCTCCTGAGATGGAGCCTGTTCTGAAAAGCTGTGACAGACTTTAGTTCCCGGCAGTGACAGGACAATGTTTTCTCACCCCACCCAGCATTAGGGGCCTGCTGGGCCCACAGGAATTCGGCGCTCTCCTAGCCCAGTCTCTCATAACAGGCAACAGCTGAGTTCATGGCCCTGTTCCCTTAAAAAAATTGAGTCTTACATAGAAGAGAGATAAAATCATATGTGATTGGAAGGAATCGGAAGATGAGCAGGGTCACCCGGATGTTTTGTTTGTGTTTTTAAAAAAATATTATTTTTATTGATTTCAGAGAGGAAGTGAGAGAGAGAAACATCAATGATGAGATAGAATCATGGATCGGCTGCCTCCTGCACGGCCCCTACTGGGGATCAAGCCCACAACCCAGGCATGTGTCTTGATCGGGAATCGAACCATGACCTTTTAGTTCATAGGTTGACCCTCAAACACTGAGCCACGCCAGCCGGGCTACTCTGATGTTTTGAGAACAGTGGGACATCGGGAGAGAAAGATGGGACATTTTGCACTCAGAGCACCTGCGACCCAACCTGTCAGGTCGCAATGCCCAGGTTGTCCCGGGTCACAGCGTGGATTCTGGTCTCACCCGCGCTCCCAGCCAGCATGGCAAGACCTCCCTGCCCCAGCTCCTGGCACTCCTGGTGGTGGAAGCTCCCTCTCAGCCATTCTTCGCATTCACCATGACCACTCTCAATGCTTCACTCGTACAAAGTAACTTCTCGTTCCTTCATCACATCAAAACCAATTCTATTGCTTTACTAACACTGCATAGATGGTCCAGGTTTTATTTAAGAAAAATGCCATGGATGATGCAGTCTTTGTAAAAATAAAATCTCACCTTCCATGTTTTTGTTCTCTTTTCATGTCACATTGCTGTGCCCTTTAGGAAGGTCTTCATGGGAGCCCGGGATGTGTTCTGTAACAACTTTCCTCAGTAGTTTATGCTTTTCTTTCTTTTTGAGTCACATTCTTCTCTCATTGTACTTTATAATTGGCTACTATTTGCATAGAGAAAGATTTTGTGTAATAATTTTGTCACTTGCCCATGGGTCAAACTCTTATTTTTTTATTTTTGTGTGGTTACTTCTCAATGGTTTTTCGATCACCAAGTCACGACTTTGTAATAACAATTAGTCAACCTCCTGACCATGGGGTAGAGGCCTACAGTTTTCTTCTCTCATCGAATCACAGTGACTAATAATCTCTGGCCTTTGGAGACCACATAACCCACCTTTCACTTCACGGAGGAAGAGGCCGCAGCCAAACCACAGAGGTCACGGTCCTGTCACGCGGTCAGCCTGTGGCTGAGGCCCCTGACTTTGCAGAACTCTGGAACCACAATAAAAAATTCCCTGTCTGTCCCCATCCCCCAGTTTCTGCTCTTTTGTTTCTCTTACTCCTCCCTTCTCATATCAAAGATTGACTTCCTTAATATCCAAAAGAACCAAACAAGATTTTATCAAACATAGTTTTTTAAAAAGAAAGTTTTTTTTAAAAACAAATGCTTCAGTTGTTTTTTGTTAATGTGTTTTCTTCCGAAAAAAACTTTGATTGTTCTTCCAGGACATGATGAAGACTTTCAACTCATGCATTAAGTACAGGCTGCGGTGTCAGCCCATGTCTTGGGGGCTCAGAAATGGGGCAGCGTCCAGTGAAGGACCCAGGAGAATTTTAATGACAACACAGAACCCCGCATCTGTGACCCTCGGACTGCGTCTGCCACTCTTTTAGGGCCCAAAATCGAGCCAACTGAGTTCAAGTCTAGATTTTTTATTGAAAAGATAGAGCCAGAGAAAATCCACTTTGGGTCCAGAAATTTGGGCCACTACTGTTCATAAGCCCTGAGAGAAAGCTCTGGAACATGTAGGGATGGTGAGAGAAATTGTCAAATGTAAGGATGGCTGATATTTTTAAAGAAAGAAAATGGTAATGAAGGGAGGAAAGAAAGCAGAGGGGGGGGGGGGAGAGAGAGAGAGAGAGAGAGAGAGAGAGAGAGAGAGAGAGAGAGAGAAGGGGGGGAGAGAATGTGAAACTCTTACAAAAATTCTCCTCGCTTTTGGGGACAATAAAGGCCCTCATACCTGCTCCCCTGTGAGAGCCCAACCAGAAGGGCAGACGCCCCCAAGCAGGTGGCCAGGTGGCCCTGCCTTAGCGTCACTACTCTTCTTCCTGTTGAGAAAACAGCGCGGGCTGCTTCGTGCTCCCCACTCTCTGACCCAGGAGGCCTTACCCTAACTAGACAGGCCACGTGTACAGGAGGAACCGCTTCTCTGAAGCAAAGACAGAGCCACCTCGCCATCAGGACCAGCTGGTGCTCTGTCCCTGCTGACCCCCTGGTCACCATGAGATGACAAGGTTTTGAAAGCGCCAGCCTGGGTGTGTTTAGGCTTTGTCTCCTCGGCGCTGAGCCCTTTGGCATGAATCAGACGGAACAACTTTAGCCTAAAACCAGGAAACACTGTTCAAAAACCATGGAGCCCAGGATTCCAGAAGCCCCGACCGAGTTGGCTGAGGCCTCCCTTCTCTGTCTCAACGGCCCCGGCGCTGCTCCTTACCGGGAACCTGGGTCCCTCGGAGGCGGCTGTCCACTGCTGAGCATGCGCCAATCTGCCAACGTCCTGCTTCGTGTGAGAACCCGACAAACACCATCGCAAGCTCCCAGTAGTTTACTTTAGGTCAGTTTAAGTGAAACAGGTCGTCTGCATATGGAGGCCGGTGGGCCAGCCATGAATCCCAGGATCAGCCTCCCCGACCGGCATGGCTCAGTGGGTGAGCATCGACCTATGAACCGGGAGGTCACAGTTCTATTCCCAGTCAAGGGCACATGGGGGGATGAGGGGGTGGGGGAGCTTGATCCCCAGTAGGGGGAGTGCAGGAGGCAGCTGATCAATGATTCTTTCTCATCATTGATGCTTCTATCTCTCTCTCCCTCTCCCTTCCTCTCTCTGAAATCAATAAAAATGTATTTTTAAAAAAGTGCCCAAAGTTAAGTGCCATTGAGCCCTCGCCACCGGCATGGCATCATGCCAGGTGCCCTGGGTGGTCATTTCATCCTCAAAACCGTCATAGGACACTGCTCTATGGACGAGGCCATAGGACCGATGGTGGACACTCGCGTGGGACCCAAACTCATGTGAGTCCCACCTACGCGCACAGCACCTGCCTCTTCGCTTCATGCAGCCTGGATCCAGCCACGGAAATAGCTCAAGGAGCTTGAGAACATGACAAAGAAAAGAAAAAAGAAAACATGCACTAAGATTTTGGATTCCTAGGTTCTGGCTCTGCCCCTGACTTACAAGTCTCACCACCTGTCTGGGCCTCAGATCCCTCCTCAGCAACATCCCAAGTCCCCTCCTCAGTTCCGAGCCCTCTGGCTCCAGGTGCTGCTGAGAGGGTGCAGGTGCCGGAGGGCAGACGAGTGAAAGCGGGTGAGAATGAGGTGCTGGCCTCAGTGTAATGGGATGTTTTGCCGAACACTGTAGGGACTCAACACAGCCGGGCTTGACCTCCAGCCAGTCCCAAACCCTGCCCAGTCTGCACTCACCTCCTCTCCCTCCTGTAGGCAGCAGCCCGTTCACTCAGCTGATTCTTCATTCTCGGGTTGTTCCTGAAGGTGAGGCCAGTGGCCTGCTGGTGTTCTGCTCACACTGCAGCAAGCAAACCGGAGAAGCCACTGAGTGGGCGATTCCCAGCTGAGCTGCACGGTCCTGGCAGCCACCCAGGGACAATAACAGGCACCCATCGGCGCTGGTGAAGTGGGTTTGGCTAGCAGCAAACGTCTTCAGGGACAGGAGCCCCAGAGATGCCGGAGGTCAGCACAGTCCTGCTCCTCAGGAAGGTGACAGGGAAGTGACTCTCCCACCAAAAGCTCAGCGGGCACACGGGTGTCTCAGGGAATCTGGTGCTGCCTTAGTGAGCACCCAGGCCGGGGACTCTTTGTGTCACCAGGAGAGACTGAGACCATGAGAGCTGGAATACATGGAAAAGAGGGGAAGACGGGGAAAATGTGTTTCTATTAAATTGGGGGGCTTCGTTACAGCTACGATGGTGAATAAGTTTGAAACAAATGGGTTGAACGTGGCTTGGTTGGAAACAGCAAATAAATAACATTTGAAAATATGATTAAAAAGTGCTCACAAAAGGAACGTTCACACAACTCCCTCACTACACATTTTTGTCTCCTATTTTCTAATTTTTCTTCTCATTCTTCATCAAAACTCCAGGAAAGAGTGTCATTATTAGGCGAGTCCCCCATAAGTACTTCCCCACACAATGAAAACACACGTCACATGGGGGCAGGAGGTGAACTCACACAGGCTCAAAGCCCGGGGGTTAGCACTGCTGGCTCTGAACCCCCAAGCTGCCATGTGGCTGCACACAAGTTATTCAACCACCCCATGCTTCACTGCCTTCACTTGTAAAATACATGACAGAACCTACTTCACCAGGTCGATGGAACAAGTAGGGGGGTTAAGCCCATTGATACATGCTGGGAAAAGCAGGTGCTTGAAAACATTGATTCTCCTGATGGCGGTGGGGATGGAGGCTGGGCTGGGAGGCTGGGACGTGCATGGGAATGGAGGCCAGTGATAGGATGTTTTATGCAAATGCTGTGCCCTGCAGTGCTCTCTGTGCCACCATGCTCTTGATTTCTTTTTTTTTCTTTTTTTTTATTGCTTAAATTATTACAAAGAGTATTACATATTTCTCCTTTTTTTCC